GGTGGCTCATGCCGTAATCCCAGCACTTTAGGAGGCCAAGGTGGATGGATTGCTTGAGGCTAGAAGTTCGAGATCAGCCTGGGAAACATGGCAAAACCCTGTCTCTACTAAAAATACAAAAATTATCCGGGCTTGGTGGTGCATGCCTAGTCCCAGCTACTCAGGAGGCTGAGGAAGGAGAATTGCTTGAACCTTGGAGGTGGAGGTTGCAGTGAGAACCTCTGTCGCACTTCTGTCGCACCACTGCATTCTAGCCTGGGTCACCAAAAAGAAAAGAAAAAGAAATTCTGAAGACAAAAGATTAGCTCTTGAGGACCCTTAGTAAGGTTTATTCAACCAGAGGCATCACTTTTGAGGAGATGGGCCTATATTTATTTTGTTTCCAAAATTTTAGATTCAAAGCAGTAAAAGATAATCATACACTTCATGATAGATCAGTCCTTCAGAGAAGGCATAGTCCTTAACACTTGTTGCTGACTTTTAATTGATTCTCTTTTAAATGGATTTTTCTTTCTTAATCCACAGATCACAGTTCTTATCTGCGTGAACACACATGGCTCTGTTACGAAAAAGTAAGATTACAACTTTGAAAATAATGATTAAAAATCAGATATTTGGGAGGATTGTTTTGATGCTGGGGCTTGGCTTTTTTCTTCTTTCTTGAATTGTCTTTGATTTTCATGGATAGTTTTGGCATCATCATTTCCGGATTATTCCCATGGAGAGTTATTCAGTATTTTAGTCAGAAGTGGACTTATTAGCTGGGCGCACTGGCTCACACCTATAGTCCTAGTACTTTGGGAGGCTTAGGTGGGTGGATTAGTTGAGCTCAGGAGTTCAAGACCAGCCTGAGCAACATGGCAAGACCCTATCTCTACAAAAAATACAAAAATTAGCCGGTTATGGTGGCAGGTGCCTGTAGTCTCAGCTACTCAGGAGGCCGAGGCAGGAGGATCACTTGAGCCTGAGAGGCAGAGTCTGCAGTGAACCAAGATTGCACCACTGCATACCAGCCTGGGAGACAGAGCAAGAACCCGTCTCAAAAAACAAACGAACAAAAAAGAAGTGGAAGTGGACTTAGAAGAAGAATCATATATTTCTATAAAACTTGCAGATATAATGCATTTTCTCATTCTGAATAAATATTCATGTTCATAGCTAATTTAGCATTTTGTATTCATATTCTTAAAGAGTCACCTCAACTCTTCAGACCCATCAGAACCTGGATTTGCCTCTGATGGTAGATCCAATCATTTGTGAATTTGTGGAGAAACATAGTAACCTAATTGTGTTACCCTCAGGGTAGAGTTCCCAGATTCAGCAAACAAAGACACAGGACAGGACAACCAGTTAAATTTGAACTTCAGATAAACAACAAATTTTTAGTATAAGTATGCCCCAAATATTGCATAAGACATATTTGCACTAAAAATATAATTTTATCAGGCAACTCTATGTCAGTGCTAACAGCCACAGCTGAAAGTGTCAGATGATAGTAGACACTGGGCCATCTCCCCAAGTTGGTTGTGGCAGGTGAATTTTTTTTTTTTTTGAGACAGAGTTCTGCTCTGTCACTGATGCTGGAGTTCAGTAATGTGATCTCTGCTCACTGCAACCTCTGCCTCCTGGGTTCAAATGATTCTCCTGCCTCAACCTTTCAAGTAGCTGGGATTACAGACACCTGCCACCATGCCTAGCTAATTTTTGTGTTTTTAGTAGAGATGGGATTTTACCATGTTGGCCAGGCTGGTCTCAAACTCCTGACCTCAAGTGATCCACCTGCCTCGGCCTCCCAAAGTGTTGGGATTACAGGTGTGAGCCACCACACTCAGCCATTGCAGGTGTGTATTAATCAGACCTGTTGATAAATTGTAGAATTTTGTCCATTTTCTGATTCTCCATCATTTTGTTTTAAAATGAGTCTAGTATCTGATTGACCCTGGCTGAATCTGTAATTTATAAGGCAGTGAGGAACTGGGTGTCAGGAAAATAGAATCACAGCCTCAGGATGTAGCTTTGAAAGGCATCCATGGAGACTCTTTTCTTTTACAAGTGGGAAGACAAAGGCATAGAGGCCAAAAAAATAGATCCATGTGTAGTCAATAGATTAAGTCTCTTGATACATACAAATAATAAAAAATAATATGTGCTGGGCGTGGTGGCTCATGCCTGTATTCTTAGCACTTTGGGAGGCCAAGGCGGGCTGATCACCTGAGGTCAGAAGTTTGAGATCAGCCTGGCCAACATAGTGAAACCCCATCTCTACTAAAAATGAAAAAAATTAGCCAGGCGTGATAGTGGATGCCTGTAATCCCAGCTACTTGGGAGGCTGAGGCAGGAGAATCGCTTGAACCCAGGAGGCAGAGGTTGCAGTGAGCTGAGACTGTGCCATTGCTCTCCAGCCCGGGCAACAAGAGTGAAACTCTGTCTAAAAAAACACATTTTTCTTTAAGTCGACTCATTTTTGTAAGTGTAATTCATAATAGAAAGTTCTTATCCTTACTGTAAATGAAAACAGAATGATTACCTATCATAAAAAAAAAGTAGCTTTAAACATGTATACATTTAGAAAAATGCGATTCAATTCTGGGTAGCTTTTGTTGTGCTCATGCACATAAAATCAGGAAGGCTGACTTTCTCAGATGGTGATGTAATATTACTTAATGCTATGAACATGAACTTCCCCAATCATTTCATGCACTACCAGTGCTGTGTGTTCCATACTCAAGAAAACACTGTTTCATGCCACTCTACTTCTCTCCAGATCCTAAGAGCAAACATCACTGGAACAGACAGACCTGGAGGCTTAGAGGCATTGGGGTCTTCTAACTGTTTACCCAGGGCAAGCAAGAATTTTCTGCCTTTCCTTCCCTCCCTCCCTCCCTCCCTTCCTTCCTCTCTCTCTCTCTCTTTCTCTCTTTCTCGCTTTCTCTCTCTCTCTCTTTCTCTCTCTCTCTCTTTCTTTCTTTCTTTCTCTCTCTCTCTTTCTTTTCTTTCTTTCTCTCTCTCTCTCTCTCTCTCTTTCTCTCTCTCTCTCTCTCTCTCTCTCTCTCTCTCTCTCTCTCTCTTTCTTTCTTTCTTTCTTTCTTTCTTTCTTTCTTTCTTTCTTTCTTTCTTTCTTTCTTCTTTCTTTCTTTCTTTTCTTTCTTTCTTTTCTTTCGCCTCTGTCTCCCAGACTAGAGTTCAAATCTCGGTTCACTGCAGCCTCCACCTCCTGGTTTCAAGCAATTCTCATGCCTCAACCTCCTGAGTATCTGAGACTACAGTCATGTTCAACACCCAGCTAATTTTTGTATTTTAGTAGGAACAGGTTTTTGCTATGTTGGCCAGGCTAGTCTCAAACTCCTGGCCTCCGGTGATCCACCTGTGCTCGGATTGCAAGTGTGAGCCACCGCACCTGGCCTGCACATCATCCTTGACCAGGGGTTGAGTTAACTGAGAAGCAGCTGTGTCATAATGGCTAAGAACATGTACTTATAATTACTACTGGCTCATAGAAGAATCACTTAAACTCAACAAAATAAAAGCCACATGTGAAAGACCAACAGCCGGTATCACACTAAATGGGGAAAAACTGAAAGCCTTTCCTTTTACATCTGGAACACGACAAGGATGGCTGCTTTCACTATTGTTATTCAACACAGTACAGCAAAAGAAATAGCATCCAAATTGGAAAGGGAGAAGTCAAATTATCCTTGTTTGAAGATGATATATTTTTGTTTTGTTTTGTTTTGTTTTGCTTTGGAGAGAGAGTCTCTCTCTATCACCCAGCCTGGAGTGCAGTGTTTCGATCTTGGCTCACTGCAACCTCCGCCTCCCAGGTTCAAGCAATTCTCATGCCTCAGCCTCCCAAATAGCTGGGATTACAGGATGCATCATCACACTCAGCTAATTTTTGTATTTTTAGTAGAGATGTGGTTTTGCCATGTTGCCGAGGCTGGTCTTGAACTCCTGGCCTCAAGTGATCTGCCCACCTCAGCCTCCCAAAGTGCTGGGATTACAGGTGTGAGCCACTACTCCTGGCCGATACAATCTTATATTTGGAAAATTCTAAAGACTCCACCAAAAAACAATTAGGACTGATATATGAATTCAGTAAAGATGCAAAACCTCTGAGCAACAATAGTGTTCCAGGTTAATTCTTTCTGTTTGCTTTTGTATTTGAGACGGGATCTGGCTCTGTCACCCAGGCTGGAGTAATCTTGGCTCGCTACAGCCTCTACCTCCCAGGCTCAAGCCAACCTCCTATCTCAGCCCCCTGAGTAGCTGGGACTACACGTGCATGCCGCCACACCCAGCTATTTTTTGTAGGGTTTTCTTGTTTGTTTGTTTTTGTTTTTTTGTAGAGACAGGGTTCCACTATGTTGCCCAGGCTGGTCTTGAACTCCTGAGCTCAAGTGATCTGCCTGCCTCAGCCTCCCAAAGTACTGAGATTACAGGCATGAACCACCACACCTGGTCAGGTTAATTCTTTATATGCTATCTGCTTATAGAAAGGTCTCAGACCACCACTTCTCCATGTGACATGGAAAGCATCTACTCACATTACCATGCTAAACTTTGTCACGTGATTTCGGGTTCACAGGTTCAATGTTAACGTGTTTCTATTTCTTTGTCAGTTAATCAGGTGCTGCTGTTCCTTCTGATTGTGACCCTCTGTGTGATTCTGTATAAGAAAGTACATAAGGGGACTGTGCCCAAAAATGACACAGGTGAGCAGACATGGAATTCATTGAGATGGGATACACAGGAATGTGGTTTAAATGTGTTCTTCTAGGTCCTTTCAATATCTGGGTTCAGGGACAAGTGTCAGTTTGGTCAACTCTCAAGGACCTGCTAGTAGAATATCTGCCCTAGACCACCTTTTCAGTTGTTCTCTAGGGTGGTCGGTGCCATTCAAACTTTAGCATGTGTGAGATTCACATGGAGAGCTTGCTAAAACGCAGCACTGGGCCACCTGTGAGATGTAGGATAAGTAGGTATGGGTTGGAGCCTCAAGATTTGCATTTCCAATTAGCTCCTGGTTGAGGCTGATGCTGTGGGTTCTTGGACCACACAGTGGGTGTACCACTTTACACCCCATTTCTTTGGAGCTTCTCAATGACTTTGCTTATGGAAACCGCCCTCTCTCTCCTCTCCCTGCTGGTAAATTCCCATCAGTGCAAGGCAGCCTCGTAACTCTCAACTTGAAAATGGCCCTCCATTGGCCCTGTGTTCTCTCCCAGCTGCACTGTGTTTCCCTCATGGGGGTGAATTGCTTGAGATGGCACCTTCATAACTCCAATGCACACACAAAGTCAATCTCCATAAAAATAAAGAAGCACTGCTTATTACAATTTAATTAATTTACTGTTTTTTTTTTTGTTTTTTTGAGATAGAGTCTCACTCTGTTGCCCTGGCTGGAGTACAGTGGCACAATAGCAGGTCACTGTGGCCTTGACCTCCAGGGCTCAAGCAATCTTCCTGCCTCAGCACCCTCAGATAGTTGGGACTACAAGTGTGTGCCGCTACACCCAGCAAACTTTCTGTATTTTTTGGAGAGATGGGTTTTGCCATGCTGCCCAGGCTAGTCTTGAACTTCTGGGCTCAAGCTAACCTCCTGACTTGGCCTCCCAAAGTGCTGGGATTACAGGCATAAGCTACCATGCCCAGCTAATTTACTTTTTATATCAATCAAGCAAATATACACTTATGGGCTGGTGGTGGTGGCTCATACGTGTAATCTTAGAACTTTGGGGGGCTGAGGTGGGAGAATCACTTGAGTCTAGGTGTTTAAGACCAGCTCAGCCTAGGCAACAAAGCGAGACCCTGTCTACACTCACACAAAACATTACCTGGGCATGGTGGGGCTTGCCTATAGTCTCAGCTACTCAAGAGGCTCAATGAGAGGATCAGTTGAGCCTAGGAGATCTAAGCAGCAGTGAGCCCTGATAGTGCCACTGCACTCCAGCTTGGATGATAGAGTGAGATTCTGAATACAGTTACTCTTTTGGTGTGTTACATATATTTATTCCTCACTTTTTTTTTTCAGCCAGATGCTTAGGGACTGGAAACACAACAGTGAACAAAAACAACTTCCCTAATTCGATGAAGCTGGCATTTCTTTCTGATTATATTTTGTAATTTAAAAATTAATTTGGGCTGGGCATTGTGGCTAGCACCTGTAATCCCAGCACTTTGGGAGGCCGTGGTGGGTGGATCATGAGGTCAGGAGTTCAAGACCAGGCTGGCCAAGATGGTGAAACCCCATCTCTACTAAAAATACAAAAATTAGCCAGGTTCCTGTAATCCCAGCTATTCAGGAGGTTGAGGAGGAGAATTGCTTGATTCTCCACCTGGGAAGTGGAGGTTGCAGTGAGCTGAGATTGTGCCACTTCACTCCAACCTGGGCAACAGAGTGAGATGCTGTCTCAAAAAAAAAATCATTTAAAAATAATTAAAAACGTATAATCTGATCTAAATGAACATAGAGAGCATCTGCAAAGAATGATTTTCACACAAAGACATATATACAAATGTTCATGGGGTATAATTCATAGTAGCCTCAAACTGGAAACAATTCACATGTACATCAACTAGTGAATGGATACAAAACACGTAATTTATCCCACACAATGAAATACTTTTTGACAGTAAAAAGGACCAAATGACTGATACAAGCTACAATATGGATGAACCTAAAAGAAAACTATGCTAAATAAAAGAAGTCAAACCTGAAAGACCATATATTGTATGATTCCATCTATATGAAATTTCTAGGAAAGGAAAATCTATGGAGACACAAAGCAGATTGGTGGTTGCCTAGAGCTCGGAGTGGGAATAGATTGGCTGCAGACCCGCCAGCTCAAAGGAACTTTCTAAAACTGGATAGTGGTGATGGTTGTGCAACTCTATAAATTTACAAAACATCATTGAACTGTACACTTACAATGAGTAAATTTTTTTTTTAATCTGTATTTGTTTGCTAGGGCTGCCATAACCAACTAGCACAGACTAAATGGCTAGACCATAGAAATGTGTTTTCTCTAGTTCTGGAGGCTGGAAGTCCAGGATCAAGGTGCGAGAGGGTTTGGTTTCTCCTGAGGCCTCTCTCCTTGGCATGCAGACAGCTGCCTTCTTGCTATGTCCTCATGTGGCATTTTCTCTGTGCTGCAGTCCTGGTTGTGACCCTCTATATGATTCTCCTCTTTTCCTCCTCTTACTAGGATACCAGTCTTATTGGGTTAAGGCCACACTAAATGACTTCACTTTAACTTAATTTCCCCTTTAAAGGCTCTGTCTCCAAGAACACACATCCTGAGATGCTGGGGGCTAAGACATTCACAGATGGACGCTGGAGGACACAGTTCAGTCCATAGTAGTATCTACATCTCAATAAACTGTTTTAAAAGAGAGAAAAGGAAATCATGTAAAGACAAATGTCATCTGAACTTCTGACTCCACTCCTCACGCTTCCTTCCCTGCTCATAAACCAACACATTCGCTCAGCTAATCCCACCACAGACTCCCTTCTTCAGGGAAAGAAGTGGATCAGTTTCAAAACAGCTGTTAAAACAGCTCTAAAGAAATGCACATCCTGACTGACTAATCATCTATATAGATAAACAAAGCATTTGGACCACATGAATGGATCCATTATCACATGTTTATTCATTCAGTGTTAAAATTTTTTTAAATCGGTGTTATAAAATACCACTCAGATGAACGTAGTGTTGGCATGGAAGGATGCTTGTGATATGTTAAGTGGGAAAAGCAAGTTGCAGAAGACACTGAAAAGTATGATTCCATTTTGGTTTTTAAATAATAAGTGTTTAAGGTATATATTCTTTAGAATATGTAAACATGAAGAAGGGTTTAGGGGTCACACACCATGCTGGTTATGTTATATATTGTTATGTAGGTCAACTTTTGGAGTAGGAGTGAGAGGTCTGCAGAAAACAGTCACAATTTACCAAATATTCTTCGGTTTGGGCTGAAATTTTTTCAATAATTAAATATTAATTTTTATAAAAAACTGGTATTCTAAGTTAATGTCCAGGAGCCCTGTGAAGTCCTATGCTGAAGTAAAACATGGCAGCATTCTCTGTAATCTCCCCATCGTAACATTCCATGTAATCTCCTGATACTTTTTTTGTGATAAGTGTGCTGATCACTCACAGCTGTCTCACTTGGGGAGAGGCAAACTGATACACTTGGCTAAAACAATTCTTATTTGAAATGGGATTCTGAGTCATGGTACTAGGAGAGCAGAACATTTCCTCTCTTCTAGGAATGGGCGTGGCTTGATCAGAGCTGCTTATGGAAGGGATGAAGGCAGTAATCATTTCTAGTCCATTCTGCTGTCATTGTGATGTTTTCTATTTTTGTTAGGCACCAAATGGTTTCCCATAGCCAACATTTTAATGCATTGGCTCAGGCACCAGTTGGTACAATGAATCCAAATAATGGAGCAGATAATTCTTAAAGAAACTGCAAGGATGGAGCATTGATGAAGAAGGTACAGTTGATAAGCCTTTCCACCTCATTTCTCCAGTGTGCCTTTGTTCTTTATTCTGTCCAGGGGAAATTTTTTGGCAGAGAGCAGTATTTTTGGCTTAGGTTAGTGCTCAGTTTCTCTGCCTGGCAGATGCCCCTAAGGAGTGTGGCAATATTATGTGTTGGCAGCAGAGCTGGACACTCAATGTTTGACCTTCTTCTGGAGTGTCCCCTCTTTCATGAGAATGCCCTCCTTTTACCTTGTGCTTCCCATTGTCTGCTGAAGGCCCCCGCCTGGGTCTGGGAGCCAGGCACTACCCCAACATTTTCACCCTTCCCTCTTATTCCTCAAGAGTCCTGTTTTCTGAGGCTCATTCATCAATTCCATTTAGTTCATTTCAGCAAACTTTCATGAAGCACTCCCAAAGTGCCAGACTCAGTGGGGATAATATAATGAGCTTACAGTGTAGTGGAGGAGACAGACACATAAAGATTCTTCCAGTGCATTGTGGCAAGTGCTCAAATAGTGGTAGCTAATACTCACCATCTATTCAAATTTTATTGAAAATCTACCATGTACCAGGAACTGGGACAGCTGCTGAAAATACAAAGATGAACAAGATACGATCCCTGCCCTCACAGGGATCCTAGTGTAATAGGAGAAAGAGGGAAGACATGCAACCAAATAAATTGCAATGCACTTAATAAATCCAACCTTAGGTAAGGCCACAGCACAGAGAAGGAACATGTTAATTTGTGTAGGGAGCTGTTAAAGGCTTCCCAGAGGATCTGATGTTGGTACCGCATTTGGAATTTGGAATAAATATGTAAAGATTAGCCATGCAGAAAAGGACATTGAAAGCATTCCAGGCATTGGGAACATCATATACAAAGGCACTGAGATAAGAGTAGTGTTCTGGGAACCATGAGGAGTTTGGTGTTACTGAAATAGAAGGAGGTGAGGCTGGAGAAGTGAGCAGGGACTGGATCATGAGGGAGCTTGTGTGCCAGACAAAGATGTGGCTTTAATTTTTAGGAACCACTGAAGAACTTTTAGCCACAAAGAAATATAGTCAAATTAGCATTTTTGGCAGAACACTTCACAGCCTCCAGGTAATATAAGATGACAATTTAGTCCAAAAGGGATAATCCTTAAGAAACTTTTTTTTGGTTTGTTTATGCTGCTGATAAAGACATACCCAAGACTAGGAAGAAAAAGAAGTTTAATCGAACTTACAGTTCCACATGCCTGGGGATGGCTCAGAATCATATGGGAGGCAAAAGGCACTTCTTATATGGCAGTGGCAAGAGAAAATGAGATATGCAAAAGCGGAAACCCATGATAAAATCATCAGATATCATCTTATTCACTACCATGAGAACAGTCTGGGCGAAACCATTCCCATGATTCACATTATCTCCCACTGGGTCCCTCCTACAACATGTGGGAATTATGAAAGTACAGTTCAAGATGAGATGTCAGTGGGGACACAGAGCCAAACCATATCATTCTGCCCTGGTCCCTCCAAATTTCATGTCCTTGCATTTCAAAACCAGTCCTTCCCAACAGTCCCTCAAAGTCTTAGCTCATTACAGCATTAACTTAAAAATCTACAGTCCAAACTCTCATCTGAGACAAGGCAAGTTCCTTCTGTCTATGAGCCTGTAAAATCAAAACCAAGCTTGTTACTTCCTGGATACAATGGGAGTACAGATATTTGGTAAATACAGCCATTCCAAATGGGAGAAATTGGCCAAAACAGGGGTTACAGGCCCCCTGCATGTCCAAAATCCAGTGGGGCAGTCAAATATTAAAGCTCCAAAATGATCTCCTTTGACTCCAGGTCTCCCATCCAGGTGAATGCTGATGCAAGAAGTAGGTTCCCATGGTCTTGGGCAGCTCTACCCTGTGGCTTTGCAGGATACAGCCTCCCTCCCAGCTGCTTTCGTGGGTTGGCATTGAGTGTCTGTGGCTTTTCCAGCAATAGGTACAAGTTGTCAGTGGATCTACCATTCTGGGGTCTGGAAGACAGTGGCCCTCTTCTCACAGCTCCACTAGGCAGTGCCCCAGTAGGGACTCTGTGTGGGAGCTCTGACCCCACATTTCCCTTCTGCACTGCCCTAGCAGAAGTTCTCCATGAGGGCCCCACCCCTGCCGCAAACTTCTGCCTGGGCATCTAGACATTTCCATGTATCTTCTGAAATCTAGGTGGAGTTTCCCAAACCCCAATTTTTCATTTCTGTGTACTCACAGGCTTAACACCATGCAGAAGCTGCCAAGGTTCTGAAGTCACAGCCTGAGCTCTATGTTGGCCCTTTTCTACCATGGCTGGAGTGACTGGGACACAGGACACCAAGTCCTTAGGCTGCATACAGCACCAGACCCTGGGCCCAGCATATGAAACCACCTTCTCCTAGGCCTCTGGGCCTGTGATGGGAGGGTCTGCCGTTAAGACCACTGATATGCCCGGGAGACATTTTTCCCATTGTCTTGGGGATTAACATTTGGTTCCTCATTACTTATGCAAATTTCTGCAGCTGGCTTTAATTTCTCCTTAGAAAATTGTTGGGTTTTTTTTTTTTTGTATCACATTGTCAGGCTGCAAATTTTCCAATCTTTTATGCTCTCCTTCCCTTATAAAACTGAATGCCTTTAGCAGCACCCAAGCCACCTCTTGAATGCCTTGCTGCTTAGAAATTTCTTCCATCAGATATCTTAAATTATCTCCCTCAAGTTCAAAGTTCCATAAATCCCTAGGGCAGGGGCAAAATGCCTTGGGTCTCTTTGCTAAAACATAACAAAAGTCACCTTTGCTCCAGTTCCCAACAAATTCCTCTTCTCCATTTGAGGCCACCTCCACCTGGACCTTATTGTCCATGTCTCTAACTGGCTTTTGGTCAAAGCCATTCAACACATCTCTAGGAAGTTCCAAACTTTCCTACATTTTCCTGTCTTCTTCTGACCCCTCTAAACTTTTCCAACCTCTGCTTGTTACCCAGTTCCAACGTTGCTTCCACATTTTTGGGTATCTTTTCAGCAATGTCCCACTCTACTGGTACCAATTTACTGTATTGGTCAGTTTTCATGCTGCTGGTAAAGACATACCTTAGACTGGGAAGAAAAAGAGTAATAATTGAACTTATAGTTCCACATGGCTGGAGAGGCCTCAGAATCATGGCAGGAGGTGAAAGGCACTTCTTGCATGGCGGCAGCAAGAGAAATTGAGAGATGCAAAAGCAGAACCCCCTGATAAAACCACCAGGTCTCATGAGACTTATTCACTACCACGAGAACAGTATGGGAAAAACCACTCCCATGATTCAATTATCTTCCACTGGGTCCCTCCCACAACACATAGGAATTATGGGAGTATAATTCAAGATGAGATTTGGGTGGGGACACAGAGCCATACCATATCATGGTTACTTTAGACAATTTGGAAAGTATAAGAAATACAAACAAAATCAAAGTCATGCATAATTCCATAAATAGACATAGGTCCATTTGCAAATATGTATGTATCAAATTGGGATCAAACACTAGAGAGAATTTTGTATTCTTTTCTCCTTAACAGTGTCTTATGAGCATTCTCTCATGTCAGTAAATATATTGTGAAAACAAAATTATTCTAGTCATGGAAATTTCAGACACAGTAGAAGGAGAAATAGGAGGCCATTTTCAATGTGTCTTAAATTACACAAAACACAGTACCTGGTAGTTAGTTTCAAGAAATGCTTGTTGAATTAAATATCAGCTAGAACTACCCTGAACCTCAGGGATAGAGGTTTTTCAAAAAGGATCTGGGGAAAGAGAGGGGGTGGGGGGGGGGAGAGAGAGAGAGAGAGAGAGAGAGAGCTCTTTAAGTAAAAATCAGTTGAGCATTTTATAGTGGATAGTGGATACTCTACTTACAGATCATTATTCTTCTCCAAGGCTGAAAGTTGTATTGTGGTACTAAAGTATGATGTTATGTGGCTTTGGTATTTTATATCACAGCCAAGGCTCAAAAGAATAATTAATTATTCATCTTGTGCATTAGTCATGCTCTTTCATTTACCTCCTTCCTCTTGCTGTCAGCATTTGAGAAACTTGACTAGAGGGGAGATAGAAGAAGGAAATTCACAGCTAGTATCTTACAGCAGTGCAGACAAAGTGAATATTCTGATTCAGGCAAGAATTGGAGACTGTTGGACAAATGAAGCTTTCAGTTCTTTGTTTTTTAACTGTGTGTGTGTTTTAGGCTAGCCAATTGGCTCCTGTAAAATAGCTCCAAAATAGATTTTCTGTTATGAGCAAAAGGGCTCACTGCCTGATGTGCTAGAATCCAACACTATGACCCTGAGTTTTGAGAAAAGCAAAGCGTTTTCTTGTAAATCATCTAACAAGGAGACAGGAGCCCAGCTCAAATCTGTGTCCGTGTTATGGCTTTAAGGCAGTAATTTTATTAAAAAGGCTCAAGGGTAGATTCGGGATTAGCAGGTGATTGATGGAAGGGAAGAGGAGGTCTGGAGAGTCCTGGGGCATGCACAGTTATTTCTTCATACTACCTAATGGGTCTCGTGCAAATCTGGGAGGAGTTAGTATGAAAAACAGGGTGAAAATCCAAGCTGTGACATTAGCAAGTTTGTTCTATGCAAACTTCAGTTGACCATATTGGTTCCAACTGATTTCAGCCAGTTTCTTAATCTCAGAAGCAGAGAGAGTTTCATCATTTCAGCAAAAATTGTTTTTTCTAATTTATCATCCTGCAAACTCAAGAATTCCTATCAGTCATTGATTTCTTTAACTCTTTGAGGGTATGGTTTCAATAGTGACATAAACAAAATAGAAGTTTATTTCCTCTCTCAAGTAGAAGTCTGATGTATCAGTTCTACAATTAGCCAGATCAAGATTCCTTCCATATTATGGTTTTGGTGAGGTCAACAGGTAGCTTCCATCTTGTGATCTAAGCTGACTACTCTAACTACCACCATCATATCAACAGTCCAGCCAATGGGAAAGGGGAAAGGCAAGGGGATGGGTGAGCATTTCGTTGAAGGGTAGACCCAGCAGTGGCACATATTACTTGAACTAACATTCCATTGGTCAGAACTTGATCACATAGAGCTGCACATGAGTCTGGTAAAATAGTCTTCGTGGCTGGCTATGTACCAGCTAAAATTCCAAAATTATTTTCTAAGGGAAGACAGAATGACTAGATATTGGATAACAGTCAGCAGTCTCTTCCACACTATGCTATCTTCACCCAGGAGTGTGGAAGATGCATTAAACTGGTTCTACTGCGAAATTCTTTAATGTTCCAAGACACCGATTTTGATGTTTCCAGATGATGAATCAGAGACTCCTGAAGAACTGGAAGAAGAGATTCCTGTGGTGATTTGTGCTGCAGCAGGGAGGATGGGTGCCACTATGGCTGCCATCAATAGCATCTACAGCAACACTGATGCCAACATCTTGTTCTATGTAGTGGGACTCCGGAATACTCTGACTCGAATACGGTAACTTGTGTCTTACAGACTTTGGCACTTTCTGTTTCCTTCCTTCCTTCCTTCCTTCCTTCCTTCCTTCCTTCCTTCCTTCCTTCCTTCCTTCCTTCCTTCTTCCCTCCCTTCCTTCCTTCCTTCCCTTCCTCCTTCCCTTTTTTCCTATCTCTTCTTTCTTTTCTCTCTTTCTCCTTTATTTTTCCTTCCTTCCTTCCTTCCCTCCTTTCTTCCTCCCCAGCCTCCTTCTTCTTTTTCTTTCTCCCTCTCCTCCCCTCCCCTCCCCTCTCCTCCCCTTCCCTCCTGTCTTTCTGATAGATCTTGCTGTGTTACCCAGGCTGGAGTGTGCAGTGGTGCAATCACAGCTCACTGCAGCCTTGACCTCCCTGGCTTAAGCAATCCTTTTGTCTCAGCCTCCCAAGTAGCTGGGACAACAGGCACATGCTGTCACACCCAGCTCATTTTATAGTTTTTTTGTGGAGATTGAGTCTCTCTTTGTTGCTTAGGTTGGTGTCAAAATCCTGGGTTCAAACAATCCTCCCTCCTTAGCCTCCCAAAATGCTGGGATTACAGGTGTGAGTCACCACACCTGGCCTCTACTTTCTTACATTTCCTTAAATAGATTTCCTTTCTTTTTGGATTAAGAAATAAACAAAAAATTAAAATTTGAACATATTATAAAAACGGAAGATAACTGTAAAATCTTGGTATGGAGAGTGTCTTTCTGAGCCCAGAAATCATCAAGAAAAATGGACAGATTTGACTGCATAACATTTAAAAACTTTACAATGATGAAAAGTACAAATGAAGCTACTCATACAATAGATTGAAAGAAAGTAATTTTAACATGTATTATAGACATAGAAATACTATCCAAAATACATAATTATTACAAAAAATTTAAAAACACAAAAAATAAAAAAACCCAGTCAAAAGTGGGCATAGAATATAACCAGACAATTTACAGAGGGAAAAAATGCAAATGGCCAATAAACATGAAAAGGTGTTGTAGGCTGGGTGAGGTGGCTCACTTCTATAATTCCAACACTTCGGGAGGCTGAGGAAAAAGGATAGCTTGGGGTCAGGCCAGCCTGGGCAACATAGCAAGACCTCTGTCTCTGCAAAAAAGTTTTTAAAAATTAGCAGAGTGTGGTGATACATAGCTTCACAGGAGGTAAGAGGATCCCATGAGCCCAGGAGCTTGAGGGTGCTGTGAGCTATGAGCACACCACTTAACTCCAGCCTGGGCAGAAGAGTGAGACCTTGTTTCAGCTAAAAATAAATAAATAAGGCCGGGGGTGGTAGCTCACTCCTGTAACCCTAGTACTTTGGGAGGCCAAGGCGGTGGATCACCTGAGGTCAGGAATTCGAGACCAGCCTGGCCAACATGACGAAAGCCTGTCTCTACTAAAAATACAAAAATTAGCTGGGCGTGGTAGCCCATGCCTATAATCTCAGCTACTGGGGAGGCTGAGGCAGGAGAGTGGCTTAAACCAAAGAGGTGGAGGCTGCAGTGAACTGGGATCATGCCACTGCACTCCAGCCTGGATGACAGAGCGAGACTGCATCTCCAAAAATAAAATAATAAATAAATAAATAAATAAATAAGCAAAGTTTTTCTATTAATAGGAAAATATAAATTAAAACATTTTTGCATTGTTTAAAACATATATGTCACTTCAGTGACATCATTTTTCACTTATCAGGTTGGCAAAAATTAAACAGAACATCATTACTCAGTGCAGGAAAATGGACATGCTTATTCCTTATTTACACAATGTGCGTTTTATAAGTTGGTAAGCATTTGGTGAGGTCAACATGGCAATATTTATCAGAATGTTGTATGCATGTATAATTTCATGCACATGCCATTTCCTCTTCTGGGAATCTGTACTACAAAAATTCTAGTACATATTACCAAAATATGTGTACAACAATGCTAGTTTCGGCATTTGTGAACTAGTAAAAACATTTCAAAGTGCTTAAATGTCCACCAATGGAAGAATATTTAAATGAACTGTGAAATATGATCCAGCTGTTAAAAAAAGAAGGCACTCTGTATAAACAGACACAGGAGATTCTCAAGGCATATTGTTAAGTGGAAAAAGCTGGTTACAGTATAACTTGTATAGTATGATTCTAGTTTATGAAAATTCAAAACCCCTAACTGTAAGTGTGTATATGTACGTGTATGTGTTTCAGTAAAGAAAAAGAACTGGAGGCCAGGCATGGTGGCTCATGCCTGTAATCCCAGCACTTTGGGAGGCTGAGGCAGGCAGATCACCTGAGGTTGGGAGTTTGAGACCAGCCTGACCAATATGGAGAAACCCCGTCTCTACTAAAAATACAAAAATTAGACAGGTGTGGTGGTACATGCCCGTAATCCCAGCTACTTGGGAGGCTGAGGCAAGAGAACTGCTTGAACCCAAGAGGTGGAGGTTATGGTGAGCCGAGATCACACCATTGCACTCCAGCCTGGGCAACAGAAGCAAAACTCCATCTCAAAAAAAAAAAAAAAAAAAAAAAAAAAAGAGAGAACTGGAAAGCTATTAAATTGTTAACACTATCTCTTGGGAGAACAGAGGAATTGGGGAGGATGCTGATGAAGGAAAGTTCAAGGTGTTTCAGTATTATTTGATCATTCAAAAGGAGAATATATTTACATGCTGCTTTTATAATTAAATGTTTTTGTAGTGGCACCATCAGGAGATACAGAGATCTGTAAGGTGTTTGCCTCTCATCTAAATGGCCCTTGGCTGCCCTGGATTTTGAGGGCTTATGTATGCTTTCTAGGGGTTTCTGTCTCATTCCTCACTCCCCTCATCATACTATTGCTCAGATTTTGCAGATCTAAATTTTGTTCACATTTAATTCTTTTGTTGATTTTTAGTCAGCAACAAATTCTACCCTAGGTGGCTTTAGTCATTGGACATTTTATTTTGTGATTATTTCTCCCAAGAATCTCATTATGAATTGGATACAGATAAAAATGCTGCAAGACCAAGAAAACAGAAGGGGAAAGGGAGGAGGAAGGAGAAGAAGGGGAATAAAGACACATGGGGAAGATTGAGGGAGTGAATCAAAGAGACAAAGGTAAACTCAAATCAGCCTTGGTGTCAAAACAGCAGAGTAAAAATGACTTCAATCAAAGTTGAAGGTTCAGAATGTCCTGCTTCATAACATTTCAGAGCTGTTACCACATGGCAAAGACAGTACCAACAACCACAGATGCTGCTTTATAAGAAAGAACACTTTTTATTCTTCCTGTTTCCTGGGGAAATTATTTGGATCTGGGGAGAGATTTGGTTAGTATTTTGCTTCATTTCCTTTGCAGAAAGAGTTACGTGATTGAGGGGGGAAAAAAAAGATTTAAAGTCAGACCAGATGGGGAGAAAAGTCAGGAGGATTTATTGGACTAAACTCTACTAAGTTTACACACATTTTAATTTTAACTTTCTAGGGAGGCAACAGATTGACCCTGGGGAAACAGGCAAATGGAGGAAAGATTTGAAGTGTATAGTAGAGGTTTTTTTGTCATCTTTTTAGAAAATGGATCGAACATTCCAAACTGAGAGAAATAAACTTTAAAATCGTGGAATTCAATCCAATGGTCCTCAAAGGGAAGATCAGACCAGACTCACCGAGGCCTGAATTGCTGCAGCCCGTAAGTAGGGACTACGCAGATGCTGGGGACAGTCCTTGGTGAGACTCTTGTTCAGTAAGGAGTGCTAGGCACTGAGATGCATGTGGAATATTATTTTTGAAGCCTTGTGGTGTTTGATCTCCACCAAACTCTGCTTATGTATAATTTATAAGCCAGCTGCTACAGAAAGGATTTAAGATGGTTTATAGAAACACAATGAAGTTATTAAAGAAGAAATGAAACATTAAAAAAATGCAGAATGCATTTACGAGTATGGATATATCTGTCGGGATGGGAGCTGGAGGAGGGCCAGGTAGCTGAGACCAGGAAAGAGGACCCCAAACCTGTTGGCTGTTGGGATATTTAACTGTGATTGCTTGTTAAATCTAACTCTGAGTATCTGACAGCTAAGAAGAAAGAGTAGCATGGTGGATTATATACTTCATAGTATTAACTAAGATAATACACTTAGGAGACACAAACTCTTTTCTTAGCATTGGAAATCTTAAGGTATTTTACCATGAGTGTTCTTACAAAAGGGACCCTCTCCCTTTTTTTTATTTTTTATTTCTCTTTTTGCATAAAAAGTGGTGTTTTTGGTCAGGCCTGTAATCCCAGCCCTTTGGGAGGGTGAGGCGGGAGGGTTGCTTGAACCCAGGAGTTTGAGACCAGCTTGGGTAACATATCGAGACCCCGTTTATTTTTTTAATTAGCTAGGTTTGGTGGCACACCCCTATAGTCCTAGCTACCTACTCAGGAGCTGAGGTGGGACGACTGTTTGAGCCTGGGAGTTCGAGGCTGTAGTGAGCTGTGATCATGCCACTGCACTCCAGCCTGGGCAACAGAGTCAGGCCCTGTCTCAGAAAATAAAAAAAAAGAGTGGTGTTTTGACAACAGTTTTACAGAAACTGCAGCCACCTTCTACATATGATTGTTACTTAAATTCATCCCAGAAAATTTATTTAATTCTAAGCCCTCTGTCTATGATATGACCTTTTCCCAATTGCAGATTCTGTCAAAGTACAAGCTGAGTTAAAAATTCAGATTAAGCAATGTTGTTAGTAATGAAACTTTGAAGTTCCTACCTCACAGCTCATGGTGCTCCTTTTTCTGGTTCAAGGAGCTAAAAGGTTGAGCTTGCTGTTGGGATGACACACGTGTGTGTGTGTGTATTTCAGGCTGATTTAATTGACAGTTATCAAAATTACTGGAGGTAGAGTAAGGCAGGCAATTTGTGCCCTAAAAGATTGACCACGGAGCCTCTGTAACGCCCACTGCAGCAGTTAACAGAGATGAAAGTGGCAGCAGCCTCTGCACTAGGGGGTTTGGATCTAGAAGAATAGCTGATCCGCAGCGCTGGCTTCAACCTCAGGCCTCAGATATTTCAGGCACTGGGAAGCTCAGGTGAGTTATCTGGCTAGCTCCTGTTTTATTCTGTTCCAAACCTGGAGCTGAGCTGAGGCCATGGTCAAAGCTGACTCTCCAGTATCCTCAGAAGACACTAAGCCATATGCCTCTTCCCCACCATCACTTCTTTTGTTGTTTTAACAGCTGAACTTTGTTCGATTTTATCTCCCTCTACTTATCCACCAACACGAGAAAGTCATCTATTTGGACGATGATGTAATTGTACAAGGTATTCTTGCTAACTGCCAAGAACACGTGGAAAAGAAGCAGCTGATAAGTAGAATGACTGTCTCTCTTCATTTTTCAAATAGCTAATTGTGCAGTGAGTTTTGACTGCTTATTTAAGTTGTGAGTACAGTACTGTAAATTCGAAAGAATTTTGGAAACAGGGGTTGATACTTACCAGGACAATCCAGTTGACACTCTGATTGTCAAAACTTGCAATAAATAGCTTGTTAGCCTTTCCTTTCCCTGTTTCCCTATAATGTATGGAAATAAAGCATCACAGATGACATTCTTAGGCGTGAGCTAAGTTTTGATGTTTAAATGTGTTATATCTCTTCCATTACAAACAGGATACGCATTGGTGTGGTACCTACATTTAGCAACAGAAATAAAGAAATTTGATCAATGCCAGTCTGAACTCATCATCAAGTGGCTTTCTAAATCTGTAGGCACGACTCTTGCTAAATAAATTGTCAAGCCACTTGAAATCAGGGATCCAATACTCTTGTCCCAGAGCAAAATCAAGAACTGTTTAAGCTCTAAGGCTCTATCTGGCCCCAAAACAAATGCCGTAATGTTTTAATTGCTGATGTTTCTAAATTCAGGTGATATCCAAGAACTGTATGACACCACCTTGGCCCTGGGCCACGCAGCGGCTTTTTCAGATGACTGCGATTTGCCCTCTGCTCAGGACATAAACAGACTCGTGGGACTTCAGGTGGGCACATTATCTTGGAAATCCTCCCTTCACCCTACAGTTCTGGTCCCTTCTCCCCCTCTGCAACTCAAAATAAGTGTAACCTCCACCTTGAAAACCCTATAGGACTGTCTGGACTGCTGGGAGGTGGAACAGCACAGGCGTCTGGGACTTTGGTTTGTATCTCAGCTCCATGCCTTTACCAACTCTGGGGTGACTTACTTTAACCCTGCAAAGCCCCACTTTCCTTCCCTGAAACATGGAACAATCATGTCTACTTTGTTCTGTCTTTGTGAGCAAAAATGAAATAACGTGGTGTCCAAGTGTCCAGCATGAAATAAAAGCTCCAGAAGTGATCGTTGTTACCTAGGTTGCTTATAACCATGCTGTCTATCAGAGATGGTGTTTTCTGAAAAAGAGACTTGCTGAATCATTGGTTCTATTTTCAGAGTTTTGACCCTCGCCTTTATCCCCCTTCCAGTAGAAGAAAATATTGATTTTGTTAAGGGTAAAGATTTCCTTACCCTGATGGAAATGAGGAAAGTTGAATCTACATGCGATGCTGAAACCAAAGGAGTCGCTTTGAAATATGAGGTGTTATTAAGAGTTGACTGCTGTTTTTCAGAAAAGCTTCTAGCAAATACTTTTATGTGTGTGGCATTTTAAGGCACTTCAAGGCATAGATTCTGGGACCAGATTCAATTTTGTCAAAATCTTGGCACTATCACTTGGTAGTTTTATGACCTCAGGCAAGTTACTTAGCCAGTTGTTTCTCCCTCATTTGTCAAACAGAGGTAATAATAGTACTTTCCCTGTAGTTATTGTGAGAATTTTAATGCATATAAAGCTATTACATGAGAGTAACGAGGTAGTACATGTAAAGTTCTTAGAAAAGAGCCTGGTGCCTAGAAAGTACTCAAGTATTTCCATGACTCCTGTATAAGGTTTGAGAGCATCATATTAAGGAATTATAGAATATGACAGTCTATATGGGTGAAAGAATGTGTGTGTCCTGCCTCATGCTACATTCATTCAGCTACTACTTATTGAGTGCTTACTCTGTGCCTGACGCTGTTTTAGGCGCTAGTAATACAGTGAGCAAAACAAAAACTCCTGCTTCTGTGTAGTTCACATTCTAGTGGGAAGAGAGAGAGTAAACAAGTAAAATATTTAACAGAGGATTGGGGTGGTGGTGGGGCTGTATTTAAAATAGGGTGAATCAGGAAGGCTGCACTGAGATGGTGTTGTTTGAACCTAAACTTGAAAGAATTGACGGAACCGCCTATGCAGATGGTTAGTGGGGAAACTCTCCAGTAAGAGGAAAGAGCAAGTGTAAAGATCTTGAGGCAGGGGTGAGTCTGGTTCATTAAAGGTGGTCACTGTTGCTGGGGATCAAGAGGAGAATAACGAGTTGGAGAGGCACTGGAGGGTCAGATGGTATAGGGTATGGCAGGCCATTTCAGGAACTCTGGCTGTTTCTGTGAATGAGATGGGAAGCTATTGGAAGAGCTTGGAGGGGATGAGTGACCTAGAGACAGAGTAGGGTGGAAAAGGGTGGAAGCAAGGATACTACCTAGGAGGAACTTGCAGAAATCCAGTGAGTGGCAATTATGGCCTAAACAGGAAGGTAGCAATAGTGGCAAGAGAAGTGGTTGGCTTCCGGCATTTTGAAGATGGGACCAACAGGATTTGCTGACAGATTTGGATGAGAAATGAGTGAGAAAAAAGGAGCCAAGGAGGACCTAATTACCCAGGTTTTTGCCCAAGTAACTAGAAGGCTAGAGTTGCCACTGACTGAGGTAGGTCAGGGGCAGGGAAGCAGGTTTGGGATAGAGTTGAGATCATTTTTTGGATGTAATTTGGAGCTGCCTTACTAAGCATCTGAAAGGAGACATTTGGATGGTAGATGTAGCAGGAGCTGGAAGTGCAGACGAGAGGCCAAGGCTGTCAGATGGGTGGTATTTAGAGCCATGAGACTGGACAAGGCCATTTATGGAGTTATTGCTTGAGAAAGGCACTGGTGCTGCACTCAGAGCATTCAGCATTTAGAGGTTGGAGAAATGAGGGGAAACCAGCAAAACAAAACAACATCAAGAAACCACCAAGTGGCCAGTGACACAGGAGGAAACCCACAGATACTGCACAAGAGTTTCAAGAAAATGATCATTTTCCAGAAACAAAAGATTCGCTGGTCAAAAGCATACACATCCTGTTCCCTTACAGAATACATATATGGGCTATCTGGACTACCGGAAGAAGGCCATCAAAGACCTTGGCATCAGCCCCAGCACCTGCTCTTTCAATCCTGGAGTGATTGTTGCCAACATGACAGAATGGAAGCACCAGCGCATCACCAAGCAATTGGAGAAATGGATGCAAAAAAATGTGGAGTACGTGAAGACTTCTCTACCATTTTTTCATACTTGGGAACAAAATCATTCAGTTAATTTTCCACACATAGTTCAAGGGTTAGAAATATTTCACAGTCATCTCAGGTCAGATTTTCTGACAGAGGCACTGTTAAGAAAGAAAAGGGGACAGTCAATTAAAATCTTCCTCAAAAGGTATAAATCAGAGGAATCAAGATCCTGTGGCGTGAGGAGGCCCTGATTATACATTTTGCTAATAAGTTGTTGAAAAATGTGACTTGAATCTCTTCCATGTAACAATCTTCATTTATCTTAGCTGAGTTTCCCCTTTTAACATAGATTTGTTATTAAGGATTATTATATAGAGTCAACTTTGCTTTTTAAGGTTGATTTTTAAAATTTATAATTTTTCATTGTAAAAGTTTTAAAAATAGAGAAGATAAAAATAACTCTAATACAACTGCTATGATCACATCATTGGACTGCCTGGCAGTCTTTTTTATCTGGATATTTTAATACCATCATAACCTTGAATTTGCCAGTAAAGTTATTCTAAATAACGCGGGATTAGAATTTGATCTCCCATGTCTACTATTTAAAAACCTGGGAGTTAAAATGGCAAAATATGAACACTGTGAATCTAGGTGATAAATATGTGAGTTCATGTTAGTCTTACTATTTTGTGTAGGTTTGACAATTTTCAAAATGAAAAGTTGGGGAGAATGAAAGGCTGTAAGTCTTAGTACATAGTGAGAGAATGTCTTGTATCTTTTCCAATATTAGATTCTACTTTATCTGAGTTTGTGGGGACTCCAGGCCAAATATTGTTTTTCTATTTCATTTCTTAGGGAAAACCTCTACAGCAGCTCTCTGGGAGGAGGGGTGGCCACCTCCCCAATGCTGATTGTGTTTCATGGGAAATACTCCACAATTAACCCCCTGTGGCACATAAGGCACCTGGGTAAGTATTTTTAAAAAACAACGCAAATGTACATTTTATTTTTTTATTTTTGAGACAGAGTCTTGCTCTGCCGCCCAGGCTCAAGTGCAATGACGTGATCTCGGCTCACTGCAACCTCTGCTTCCCAGGTTCAAGCAATTCATCCGCCTCAGCCTCTTGAGTAGCTGGGATCACAGGTGTGCACGACCACGTCCAGCTAATTTTTGTATTTTTAGTAGAGATGGGGCTTTACCATGTTGGCCAGGCTGGTTGGCCTCCCAGAGTGCTGGGATTACAGACGTGACCCACCATGCCCAGCTGCAAATATGCATTTTATAGATCCAGTGAGCACCATGGTGAGGAGAAGGTGCTACATACAGCACCAGGTTGTTCAGTTCAAATCCTCCAGGTGACGCTGGACAAATCAGTGTTCAGACTCTGCAAGTGCAGCTGATATTCTTAGCTACCTGAGGGGCATGTTTCTGGATATTTATGAAAAGCCATTAGAGTCATGCTTAGCATATAGTATATGCTCAATAAACATTAACCGTTATTAAGATAACTTTTGGATGGGCGCGGTGGCTCATGCCTGTAATCCCAGCACTTTGGGAGGCTGAGGTAGGAGGATTACCTGAGGTCAGGAGTTTGAGACCAGCCTGACCAACATGGTGAAACCCTGTCTCTACCAAAAATAGCTGGGCATGGTGGCAGGTGCCTGTAATCCCAGCTACTTGGGAGGCTGAGGCAGGAGAATCACTTGAACCCAGGAGACAAAGGTTGCAGTGAGCTGAGATCGCACCATTGCATTCCAGCCTGGGCGACAGGAGTGAAACTGCTCCTCAAAAAAAAAAAAAAGAGAGCGAGCGAGAACTTTCACTGTCAAAGCTTTATTGAACTGTCAAGCCACACTTATAATTTCTCTTGCAGTAACCTACAGTGGACAAAACCAAATAAATTAGCATAATGGCTTAGGATGAATTCAGAAAGCTGCCATTAAAATTTATCCTTTAAAAAGCAGTTGACTCTGTACTGTGAGCTCCTTAAGTCTTTTATTCACTACACAAGTGTAAGTTTTAGGATATAGATTGGAATCCCAACTATGATTTTGGGCAAGATACGTGTAAATTGCTTAGTATAGAGCCTAGCATAGAGGACACATTCGTTCCATTCTAACACATGGCCACAATCCCTTATCCAAAACCACTGGGCCAGACATGTTTAGAAGTTTTGATTTTAAAAAGGTAATGCGGTGCTGAGTGGGATCTAGGTTTTACTGCCAGAGGAGGTATTTAAAAACCTTTTGTTTTCAGACCTTTGGGGATTATTTTAGAATTGGAGACCACAGATATGGACTTAGATTTACCAACTTCCCATTACATTGCTAAGAACTGGATTAAGTTCTGTTAAGGAAGGTGAATATTATTTCTAATTCTCACAGCCCTACAAGGTGTCATGTCCTGTAATCTCCTTTTTAAAAGAAAGGATGTAATTGTGGAGGCGGAGTTACTGTCTGCTCTCGATGATTCTGTGGATTGCTTCTGCGTCATTACCAGAATCCTCTGATTTTCCTGAGCATACGTATGCACAAAAGTGACACAGGGAAGTCAGTGGTCCATCTGATTTGATTTATAGTCATGTCGGGTTCACCATTAGGTCAAGTATCAACCTTTCCATGTGCATAAAATCCCATCAAAGTAGGTCTATTTTTAAAAACGTGTAGGAACAGCTATGCAGAGCTTAGATCAGTAACATGACAGCATTTTATGATCTTGAAACAGAGTCAGAGTTACATTTTATGAAATATCCAACTTAGGCCAGGCATGGTGGCTAACATCTCTAATCCCAGCACTTTGCGAGGCTGAGGTAGGTGGATCACTTGAGGTCAGGAGTTCAAGACCAGCCTGGCCAACATGGTGAAACTAAAAATACAAAAATGGCATGAGCCTGTAATCCCAGATATTCAGGAGGCTGAGGCAGGAGAATAGCCTGAACCTGGGAGGCCGAGATTGCTGTGAGCGGAGATCACGCTACTGTACTCCAGCCTGGGCTACAGAGCTAGACTTTGTCTCAAAAGAAAAAAGAAAAGAAAAAAAGAGAAATATCCAACTTACTGACAAGGAGGAAGGGACATTCTCAAGACAAAGATGTCATTTTTCTTTGTAGAATGGTGCTTCCATCTGTGCTGAAGTTTCTGGAATCAGGGATGGTGTGCAAAGTGAATCTACACAGAAATCATTTTAAAAATGATCCAGTTTCAGGGCGTTCTGGAGGCAGAAGGGCAACATAACACTAACGAGCATTAAGTTTGGGTCTAAACAGGCAGGCTTAAGAGTTTTTAAATTTACAAAATATATTTAGCTAAAAGCAATTTCATCACCCAAATTGCAAGCCCCTCTGAGGTAGCTCCACACAGCCCTTCAGTTATGAAGCTGAGATGAGGATGCCTTACATAGTAGACTTTTCATGAGAAGATGTCTTTTCCCAAATGAATATTTCCTTTGTATAGACTCTGGTGATTGATAATTATTTCAGTTATGCTGCTATAGCTTGAAAAACCTAGTTTCTCCTCTGCAGCTGCCTTCACAGCTGTTTATTAGTAACAGATGCCAGGTTGTGTTGTTGTTAACATCATACACTAGAATAACATAACCCTAGCAAATCAACTCTCTTGTAATTCAATGGACTTTTCAGTGTTTTTTTTTTGTTTTTTTCGATGGAGTCTTGCTCTCTCTCCAGGCTGGAGTGCAGTGGCGCAATCTTGGCTCACTGCAACCTCTGCCTCCCAGATTCAAGTGATTCTCCTGCCTCAGCCTCCTGAGTAGCTGGGACTACAGGCGAGTGCCACCATACCCAGCTAATTTTTTTGTATTTTAGTAGAGATGGGGTTTCATCATATTGGCCAGGATGGTCTCAATCTCTTGACCTTGTGATCCGCCCACCTCGGACTCCCAAAGTGCTGGGATTACAGGCGTGAAGCCACTGCACCCGGCCTCAGCTGTTTAAAAAAATAAATTCCTTTTCATGGAAAGTTGAACACTATAGATAGATACACATTTTTTAAATTTTACATGCACACCATCTTAATGTAATTCTAGAATTGGTATTCTAAAAAATATTCTAAGCAATGGCAATGTTAGGGTAAATGCATAGTCTCTTTAAAGTGATTACTTATGAGAGGAGTAATATTCAGATACAGATGGATGGCTGTTTGTTTAAAAAGTAGATCTTAGTCACATTTCAAGAAGACAAGACTGTTCAAAAGAAAATGTTGCCGTTTTTCATTAAGGAGATGAAATGCAGAGAAACAAGAACCCCTATAAACTCTTGGGTGAGAGGAAAACTAATAGAGCTTCTTAGGGGACAATGTGGCAATCTCTATCAAAATTGAAAAGGTACACACCCTTCAATCTAGCAATTTCACCTACAATATTTTATCCTACAGATATGTTTGTACACATACACTAGACACACATAGAGGGCTGTTCATTGCTGTGTTCATGCTAATGAGAGGATAAAAACAATCTAAATGTCCTTAATAAGGAACTTGTTCAATAAATAATTATATATCATTCTATATAGTCACTAAAAATAATTTGGTAAATCCACATGTACTGCTGTGGAAATTTTTCCAAGACAGTAATTTTAAAAGGCAATGTCCAAATAAATAACAAAATATTTTGTTTAAAGGCAAGGTAGGAATATGCTCTATCTTGTCTTCTGTCATATATATATATATGCATACAGGCCAAACAATACAATACCATTACTAGAAGCCTGCACAAAAGACTAACAGTGGTTGATCTGGAGATCTGGGGTGGGTAGAAAATTCACAGTATAACCTTTTGGTTTACTTTTTTTTAAACCATGAACTTGTATTCAATTTATAATACAAAAAAGTTATTCTCTAACAAGCCTATTATTTTTTCTCTAAACACAATGAAGGCTGGAATCCAGATGCCAGATATTCGGAGCATTTTCTGCAGGAAGCTAAATTACTCCACTGGAATGGAAGACATAAACCTTGGGACTTCCCTAGTGTTCACAACGACTTATGGGAAAGCTGGTTTGTTCCTGACCCTGCAGGGATATTTAAACTCAATCACCATAGCTGATATGACTCCACCCTTAAAATATTCCCTGTATAGAAATGTGGAATTGCCCCTTTGTAGCCTACTATAACATTGTTTTTTATGAACATCACCTTTGATCCATATGATCCACAATATAAAAACCAAAAACTACTGTGTGAAAATTGTACCTTGGACCATATAAGCATTATTTACTTTTTTTTTTTTGAGATGAAGTCTCGCTCTGTCACCAGGCTGAAGTGCAGTGGCACGATCTTGGCTCACTGCAACCTCTGCCTCCTGGGTTCAAGCGATTCTCTTGCCTCAGCCTCCCAAGTAGCCAAGACAACAGGCCTGCGCCACCACGCCCAGCTAATTTTTATATTTCTTAAGTTCACCATGTTGGCCAAGATGGTCTTGAACTCTTGACCTTGTGATCCGCATGCCTTGGCCTCCCAAAGTGGTGGGATTAAAGGCGTGAGCCACCCTTTAAGTACATGTGTTAACTATGGAAATCAAGATTATGTGACTGAAAAACATAAAGGCATAGACCCATCTAGATACCAGCCATCAATCTGCTTAATTCTGAATGACAATTATATCCACCAATTTTTAAAACTTCTAAATGTATTTTTCACATGTAGATCTTTTTTAACAGGTTGTCAATCTTTTCTTTTATAAAACTATTACATTTAAAATTTGGATGTCTGAAAAACAGAATATTCATGATTTTTATGATTTTCATCATGTTACTATTGTTCATGTTAAATATAATAGAAGGTAAACAGACCCCAGGTTTAAAGGGAGAAAGAATATCATTAAGTCTTGCTATAGAAAAAGCCTGTAACTTAAGGATAACAATTCTTAATATCTTTTATTGTAAAAGCCATCAGACTTTCAAATGAGTTTTAAAACTTTCAGTATTATTTAATGAAAAAGTCTCATACTGTCATGTACAGGGTATATCAACATTTACTACTCATCTGTTGTGTTATGGAAAAACATCATTATTGTATGCTTGGAAAATTCTCAAACCCATTTCTAATGGATGTCTGTCATAATTTAAAGGGTATTTTCTCCATTCAAATAAAACTATCTATTGTTAAGCTACAATAGTTATATACCAAAGTAATACCTAGTTACATGCTTTACATAGTCCCGTGAAAAAATAATTTAATTGCTCCTAATCCCTGATGCAAGGCACTTCAAAGCACCTGCACAAAACGTCCATGTAAACAGCAGTACAGTACATCATTTAAATAACATAAATGACTTTTACACAGCTTGACCTAGACTTAAGGAAAAATAAAACCCATCATAACCACAGCTAAAAAGCATGTTAAAATTCACAACAAGAATTTCTTTCTCTTATTATAAAGAAAAGAGCAATCATATAACCTCTGGGGGGTAGGAGAGACCTCATAAATATTTTATATTGACAAAACAGCATGCTCCCTGGGTATGTATGAAATCAGAATATTTAGGAGAGACTGAGTGAACGCGAATGGCATTTCTTAGCACCCAGCTTTAATATCTACCAGACCTAGTAGTCTGGATTATTTGTAGCACCACAGAAAACTCAATAGAAAATCACAAAGGTATATATTCAACCTTTCCGTGAGGTTCATTTAATTTATAGTAACAAACAGCAATGATGCAGATAAAGAATTTTTGAAATTATTGGCTTATTGGATTTACCTAGCAAGACAAACTCTATATTACGTATTTTAGTACATCTCATGTACGTAAAGCACCAGTTTAAATGAGATTATCAAATATCTCCAGCATCTTGTTGCTGAGCCTAAAAGTTCATTTCTTATTACTTTCCATGGCACAATCTTAAAGCCAAAGAAGATAAAACTAGAATGTTAATAAATATTAACGGAGAAATTCACTCCCTATCATATTTATGTGTCTCAAGTAAAACACAGATGAGTGGCACAAGGTCTACTGCATTCTCTGGAACGTGCCACCCCAGAGTAGTCACTGGCTACCAGAGTATTAACACACAGGACTGAGTAGGTCAAAGCCCGGGCTCTGTCAGGTCAGGGCCGGTTTTTACTACTGAGCAACTTACAAACACCACTGGTAAAGCAGAGGCCTCAGTATGCATACAACTCAGGGAACCCTGAGTTTACCCTTAGTTACCACTAAAAACTAACAAATGAGACTCCACTGAGGCTCAACTTCATATACAAAAATCAACACATTTGCCTGACAGTGGTAATTATTGTTAGCATGCCCTTCTTAGGTATAAAAGGGGTAATGGTATATCTAGGTTTATGCACAGTTAAGAATTAACTATAAATATTCAGACTTGTATTTTAAAATTACAGATCAAAAGTGACTCCCAAAAGAAAATCAATTTCTTCATAAATGAAATATAGTATATCAAAAGCTGGAATGATGATTAATTCAAATACAAAAGCTAGATACAAAAACCCTACTTTTTCTTCCAAACTACTTAGGTTCATACGGCTCATACTACCACACAACTGTTCTACATTACAATTACACCACTAGAGAAAAATATGAATAACACAAACACTTCAGTTAGCAAACTGAGGTTCTACTTGTTGACAACTGCATTAAAACTGCAGCATTTAAATAGAGCTGAGAAACACCATTCTTAAGCACGGTTTTCTTCTTCCTGTTCTTGTGTTCCACAGTGATTATTAAAGGAAGGAATCTGGTCTGTAAATGACTGGGTCATCCACTGCCCATTAGGAATGCCACTGAAAGCTGATTCTCCTTGTAACTCCGAACTGTCAACTGCCAGGAAAGAAAACCAAAGTTAGTTTATGCCATTTAGAAATTTTTGCTTTTTTATAAATAGAGACTGGGTCTCACTCTGTCACCCAGGCTGGAATGTAGTGGCATAATCACAGCTCTTTGCCAGCCTCAAACTCCTGGGCTCAAGTGAGCCTCCCATCTTAGCCTCTCAAAGCACTGGGATTATAGGTGTGAGCCACCACATCAGCTTATTTAGAATTTTTTTTTCTTTTTGAGACTGCATCTCACTCTGTCACCTAGGATGAAGTGCAGTGGCATGATTTTGGTTCACTGCAGCCTCTGCCTTCCAGGTTTGAGTGATTCCCCTGGCTCAGCCTCCCAAGTAGCTAGGATTACAGGCGCCTACAACCATGCCTAGCTAATTTTGGTATGTTTTAGTAGAGGCAGGGTTTCATCATGTTGGCCAGGCTTGTCTCAAACTCCAGACCTCAAATGATCCACCCACTTTGGCCTCCCAAAAATGCTGGTTACAGGTGTGAATCACCACGCCTGGCCTGGAAGTTTTAAATGATCAAGTAGGAGAGTTTAACAGTTTAGTGAAGGAGAATGATTATTAAAATAGTTAAGCAAGCTTCCTGAATACAACTGTAAGTTTCTGTTCTATTTTCAGATACAGGACTCATTTGTTATTAATTCTTATTTGTTATTAAAGAAGAAAATCCAACTAGGGTGGCCTAGAGTTCATGACTGAAAGAAAATGCACTGTAAAAGCCTGTGTAATTCAACGTGAAATATCCATCAAATTTGCACTAATAGTTACTAAATAAAATTTCGTATTACCATTCCCATCCTTCAATAATTTACTGTTCTTCTATTAAAATTCTTCCCCCAATCCTGACAAAACCGTCTTTGAAAGGAACACATGTGTGGAGGGGAACATACCTAGCCCATTTGAAGAGAAGCTGAAAGGTTCACTGTTGCATGGATTTTCTACATAAGCACCACCATACGCTGCCTCATAACCCGGATCATATTTTTCTTCCTTAACAGCCATCTTCTTTGCATCCTCTGTGAGGAGAGTAAAAAGTATTTAAGGATTTAAAACTGATTTTCTACAACAATTCTGAAAATAGCATTATTCAGAAATCATGAACAGCTCTTTTTCTTGAATGTTCATATACACTGAGATACATCTCTATTAATCTTTTAAACTTATAGCATATACTAAATGAACACATAAGAATTGTAAAAACCTCTTACATTCAATTTTAGGTGGGGTACAATATTTTTTACATACCTCTGCTCTGGCACTTTGCAGGTGAATTATCTGCAGGAATGCCAGAGTAGAGGGAAGACCTTGATAAAAGGAGATTTTAACAGTGACTAATATCCATTATCAGAAAAAAGAAAAAAATTGTTTTCTTTTCTGCTTTTAAATTCACAACATACTTTCTGTAATGTGTGTGTATATACATACATATATATCTATGTATATATGTATACATATGTGTATATATGTATAGACACATGTATATCTATACACAGTATATGCATATATGTATACATGCATGTATATGTACACACACAAAATGTGTATGCATGTATATATACATGTATGTATATGTATACACACACACACACACATAGAAAATATGCTGTGGATTTAAAAGCTGGAGAAAAGAAAACAATTGTATTTCCAGCAAGAGTGCTCTGATACACACACACACACACACACACGTGTGTATATATACACACACACACAAAATGAATAAAAGGAGTGAGGACAGTAACATACCTTGAGCAAGCTGTAGGTCAAAAGTATACTGCACCTCTTGAACGTCCATATTTCGTTCAATGCCTTTCAACTGATCTCTTAAGTCCTTCAGCTTTATGTAGTAATGAACTTTGTCCTGGGCTCGAGGAAACTGAGCACATCTTGCACTGGATGATGGCATAACATAGCAGAGCTGGAATCGCAACATTATATAATTTCAGAAATCTTATAATTCTATTGAATTCACTCATATTGAGATTAGAATATTGTCTTTGTTTGGGTTAATAACTTGATACTTAACTGCACATAAATATATGTAAAAATCAATAAAAGTAGTTGTGTTTAAGTTCGAATCTGTAATACTCACTTATTACCAAGTCAGTAAGTAAAAAATAACGAGTCTCCAACTAGTGAGTCGCCTCCTGGGTTCAAGCAATTGTCCTGCCACAGCCTCCCGTGCAGCTAGGATTACAGGTGCACATCACCATGCCTGGCTAATTTTTGCGTTTTTAGCAGACACAAGGTTTCACCATGTTGG